TTTTTTTTCTTTTATAGAGGCTGAATACAGCCCTGTATATGATGCTGGATTACTTCCAATTCTTTGTTTACAGAAGAAAACGAAGGATTGGAAGACATACAGTGGACATACAGGGCTGTATCAGACTCTAAAAAATAAAAATAAAAATAAAAAGTCCAACTCCCAAGCAGCAAGCTTTCTCAAAATGGCTGTACTACTAATTATCTTTATTAGGTTGTATTCTCAAACAAATAGTTCAAAACACATCATCAAAGTGTATCCACATAGAATGTATTACAGCCATTTCGAGAAAGGTTGTGGTTTGCAAGCTGGGCTTTTTTGTTTTTTAGTGGCCAATACAGCCCTTGTCAGACGGGGTGATGCCAAGACAGTATGTCTTCTAGCTACACCGGCTGATAAGGCTGGTTTGGTATTGGATGAAGAAGAGATAATTGGATTGAAAAGGGGGGGCCCGGGTTGCGGGGGTGTTTACAATGCCCTCCAGGAAGAAGCTTGAGTCAGCCGCTGATATATAGCGGGTCCTTCTTAGTGACAGGTCCTAGGAATACCTAGGGGTGGTAGTCTGCACGGGAGTGGAGATGGAAGACGGATGTAGTTGACTCGGAAGATGGGACTTACTGAGCGATGGGTAGTTCCTTCTTCCGCGTCGGTCAGCGGTCTTGTCTCTCGGTGCTCGAGTACTAATCCAGACGGGATCCTTGGCTAGTTACAAAAGTAAGGCAACGACGGTATAGAGGTTGTAGTCGTAGGGATTCTGTTAGGAGCAAGAGTTGTTTCGGAATTAGTTTTTTTACTGATGAAAGTGTTCTTGGATAATGATGATGAAAAAGGTGGAAATCGATGCTGCCCTTTCTCTTCTCTAACCTGTTCCGGCTTTTATATCCATTGGGTCCATCGTCGATGGCGTATGGGAGTCGAGTTCTTGATTCGAGTGGTTGTTGGCTTAGTCATGAGGTCATGACTGGCGATGCCAACCTGTGTGTTTCCTTGGAGTGTGACATCTTGCGAAACTGGATGTCACACCTCAAGGACTCGCGTTGGAGATGACGCATAGAGTGTAGTACAGTACTGAGGTTGCTGCGGATTCTCCAGCGCGTGCTCCTGAGTTCATTTCAACAATTAATTCTAGTTTTTTTATTTAATTATGCAATTAAATTTTATTTACTCATGTATATATCTAAAACAAGACTAATAAAGTCATTAGAACAGGTCAGATTGTCCTGCTTTATCCGTGACAAGCTGACAGCCCTGTATATTGCTTGGAAATCTTCCAATCCTTTGTTTTCTTCTGTAAACAAAGGATTAGAAGATATACAGCCACTATACAGGGCTGTATCAGCCTCTAAAAAAATAAAAATAAAAAATAAAAATAAATAAAAATAAAAAAGCCCGGCTCGCAAACCGCAACGCTTCTCGAAATGGCTGTACTAAAGTGTGCAATGTCAAATCAATCAGCACTAAAAAAAAAAAAAAAAAAAGAGCAGGAAGATAGTCAATAAACTATGCTCAAAGCTACATGTGGACGAGATGCGGAATGGGCAAGATGTGTCATCTGAGCAGGCCACATACGGAGACGTTCAGGGCAGAACGGTTGATTGGCTCATCCCCCTAAGCCCACTCCTCCGCCCACTCTTGTGATTTTTTGAGACCATCCAAGCAGGAAGTGAATGGGAAATGTTTTAACTGAGGAAGAAGGTATTTTATAACTGAGGAAGAGCTGGCCGGTGCACCCAGTCAGCCCATAGAAGCGAATAGCTTCCTGTCAGGCTCGGTGATGCCAAGGCAATAGGCCTTCTAGCTACACCGGCTGATGATGCTGGTTTGGTATGATGGAAAGGTGGAGAGGAACAAAGGGGCCCAGGTTGTGGGGGTTTTTATGATGCCCTTGGGGATACAAGCCTGGGTCTGATGTGGAGACAGGTGAAGGCTACTACGGGGTCTCAAAGATACTCGAGGGTATTCGGTCCGCGTATCAGAGTGATGGGCAGAGGAATAACCAATCAAGGTATTCCTTGGCAACAAATCTCTGGCACTCAAGTGCAGAACTTGAAGGAAGTATGTGGTGCTCTGAGTGGGGTATGCTGGGTAGCGGAATGATAATTAGAAAAAGTTGTAAACTGGAAAAGGATGCTGAAAAATACTAAGCTGGTAAAAACTGATCATTCCTAGCTGCCTTGTTTACTGGTCCTTTTTATACTGTAGGTACCAGTAACCAAAACTGGAAAGGGAAAGGGAAGTTGACCTCACCGGTCATCTCTGAGAATCTGGGATGATGTATAATTTCCAAGGAGCTTTGACCGTGGAAATCTTCTCATCTCATGTCACAGTCTCCTGTCATGATGTATTTTAATATGTCACTAGTTCCTGTAAAGGACATTTTATGTCATTATTTTTGTAATACTATTTGATTATTAGATCTATTACTTATTATCTTGAGTTGTTTATGGAAATATTGCAGGTCAGCTTGACTCTGTAATAGTAGCAAGCTGACACTTCCCATTTGAATCAAGAGCGTCCAGACAGATTTTGCAGGAGAGCGATCGACGATCGGTTTGATTTGACTAGCTAGAGTAAGAACAGAGGATCTCAGCCGATTTTTTTTGTCTGTGATCTCTGCATACCTTGCGGAGCCGCCGTCGGATGGGACGACACCGATCGGCGGCTTGGCCGGAAACGCTTGAAGACATGGTTGAGTGAATTGTTTTCGAGCCATTGGAGCAGGTAGGAGAGAAGAACTGGCCTGACTGGCTAATTGGTACAGAAGATGATCGACGTTGGCTGTTAAAAGCATTTTTTTTTCAATGGAAAGACGGAAAAAAACAAGCAAATAATCACTAGCTATTTATGTACTACGGAGCCATGCCGAAACCAATTCTGATCTTAAGGGTGATGGAGGCTGGGAACTGTGATCGGCGCGAATTTTCGTGTCTTTTCTCTCACTTTCTCTCTCAGCTTCAGCCTCGGTATCACCCCCCCCCCCCCCCCACAGATCTTCAAGGGGTTTGGGAGTGTAACTTTCAAGCTGCCCAATTTCTGGATTCTCCTTTACATGGCTCAAAGGGGGGGGCTCACTTCCGCACTCAAAGATCCCC